GGGGGGGGAGGAGTGGAGTCTTTTTTTTCCAGGGACTTTTATTGACATTATTTTGGGAACAGGATGAATCACTCTTTCCCACAAGTTCTTAGATAAACTGAAATAAATCAATAATGCTAACAACTGTTGAGGGGAATCATCTGAATATTTTACAGAATTCTTTGAATATTTTGCAAGTGGTTTACAATAGCTTAGTCCCCCTTTCCTTGGGATTAGGACATGGGAACAGCACTGTCTGAGGCCAGAGAAGCAGATCTGGGAAGTAAACTACTCAAGAGTCAGAAGTGATAAGCTTCCAGCTTTGAAAACATTCAAGAATGCATTTTCAGGTTTAGGTTTGAGACAAAACAAGCATTTTCATATCAGCCATATTCATGAAGAATGCCTTATACAGTATTTGAAACCTCGGACAACTTTATTCCAACCAGGCAGTTTGTCCAATAAAATATCACCCAAAAAATCCTTGCCACTTACATAATTCTTGGACTATCATGGCTACCAATTCTGTGCATATCTTCCCCACTATGAAAATCTGTCATGACCCAGACAGAGTGAAGATTTGGGGAGATAATAGAAGGTTAAGTCTTAACAAGAGGAGGCAATAAAAAGGGATATAGTAGAAGTATATATTTAACCACTTTTTTATATTGGGTGGCAGAAACTGCACTCTAATATATATGATTGTTTCCCTTCCTTTTCTACCAACACAAAAGTAGAGTATTAAGAAGACCAGTACATGAGCATCAGAAGGAGAAGGCAAGATAGGAGAAGGTAAAGAATAAGCTGTCATCTAATCCTCAAGTCACTGTCGGTACAGTGTTACCTACGGAGGAAAGAGGATATCATCATAAATATGATCACAAGCAGTAGTCAGGCCATTCTGCTGTAAATGTAATTTAGATGCTACCAAGAGAAGCACAAGAACTGGATTAAAGTTTGAGCCCATTTTGAGATATAAAATTACTCTCTCTCAAAGAAGCCAAAGGAGAGGGACAAGTCAAACACAAATAGGTAATGAACTGAAGGAGGAAAACTGCATATAAACTAGTTTTCTTGCTGGAAACGCTCACCAGAAAAACTAATTAGTTGCAGGTTCTCTCCATTCAATTGGAATTGCTTGAGATGGAGGACACTGTTTTCAGTTTGGTTTTCTTTATAGGCAGCTTGGATAGGAAGAGGAATGAAGAAAAACACTGCTAGATGGGATTAATCTACACTATTAATTTTTCTTCCCACGGGCTGAACCTTCTCAAGAGGCATTGATAGCATCAGTTCTTTATTATTTCTCATTTTAGGAACACCTTTACCTTAATATCCCCCAAAACATATTTCACAAGTTGATATGAGTAGTAGCAAACCATAAAATCACTGTTTACATTTTAGATTTCCTTTTTCTTGATTGTTGAGTTTTGAGACACTTTCCACACATAATTAGACAGCTTTTACATACTATCTTCATGTATTTCAATAATGCCTACCATATGCAAGGTGTTTTCCAGGCCCAGAGAGACCGCTCTGAGCCGGAAGAGTTTAAAAGTTTAAGGAATAAAAATTAACTGTCATTAAAACGTTCTGATCAGACTTCATAACGGTTTTATCAGGTGATAATACTAAATAGTAGTATAGTCCTATGGAAATAAGACTATACCAGGAATGCACAATATTTGTATATAGGAGGAGTTCCCAGACAGTTCTGCCCACTCCCATTTGTCTGAATCAGAAACTGAGCTAACAAAACTGTACCAGTTTTCAGGCAGCACTGGTGAACTGACCTGAGGAAAGTGAAACAGCTCTAAATTACCAGAAGCAGAGCATAGTCACTGAGATACATTGTTATTTGGCCTTTAAATTGTAATCCTGGCAGAGATTCATGCTAAGAGGTATGGAAGGAGATTCTTAGCAGTGGGCTCTTCTGAGAACAGTCTATAATTTCAATGCAGAAAGAATAAATTAAAAAAAAATCCATGACAAAACTTGAGGAGCTTTGTCAGCTTTGGTTGAAAGTAGTGCCTGTTCCTGAAGGAACATATTACCCAAAGTTACACAAGATAATAATCTCTGGCTTGCAGCATTTTTATAGCAGGAGGAGAGCACTAGTTCGTCTACTTCCATTATTACAGGGATCTTGTTAGTGCCATCATAAACGTTGGGTTTTAAATGTAATTGATACTTAATTCCAAAGGAAGTGAAAACTTACCTTCTGGAGGAGTTGGAACACTGCTTCCAAGTCCTAAAATAGAAATGCTATGGCTCCTTGGTGCCAACATCAGAGCAAACTCTTCTCCCCGTTCCCAATGAGGTACTTTTACAGGCTCCAGGTGCACATTTTCCAGCCCTTCCTCCTGCAGAGCACTGAACATGTATTCAATGGCAACGTCTAGATTTTTGGAGCCACTGAGTCTGGGTCCTACAGTATCAGCAAAAAGTGCCAGTCTTTCATAAGATCTGTTCTTGGCGTTGCCATAAACAGCAAGGTTAATAATAGCCTTAGCAATATCAGAATAACCAGCTATTTCCCTTTTAACATCTTCAGATATTTTTTGGTAGCTGTCATCTCCACTCAATGGTTTCCCAGTGCATTGCAGTAACAGCTGAATGACGGCTATTAAGAACAGGCATTTCATTTTCCTTCCTTTTCTTTTACTCAGTTGTCCTGTTGAAGGGGGAAAAACAGACCATTTTAAATCATACATCGATCAACAATATTTTGTTATTTGTTATTTGGCCTGGCAGAAAGGCAATATTAAACACAAATCTGATGAAAGCATTTTCACATTAAACTAAACTGGCAGAGAAATAAATTCAACTTAGAAACAGAGTTATTTGGAACAAATACAATGGACACTTAAAACAACAAAGGCAGGGACAAGCTTTGTTACAATTGAAAGAAACATCCCCAGAATGCAACATTTCTTTACTAAATGAAAGACTAGGAAGTTTTTCATTCAAGTCATTCAAGGCAGCTGGAGTTTTGCAATTGGCTCCCCCCCGGAAGGAGGACTGGCCACAACTGTTAACCCAAGACAAACTAATGATCAAAGAAGCTGCACACAGTTCATTCAGTCAAGAAGCTTTCTGAACCATTCATGAATAAAACCACTTCAAATTTAGTAATACTACAAATCAACAACATGCATTCACTATACAAGAGATTTCAATGTAATTTACAACACTAAGTTCCCACTGTCCCCGATGGCACAGAAGCACAGTTAAACTGACAAAGATTTTCTGACTTTCCAGACAGTCACCTAGGAACTAATTTTTTTTGAGGGTGCTGAGCACTTACATTCAACTCCAGATGAACTTACACAGCTAAAGCTACCCATTAACGTGGCATTTTGGGACATTTACTATGATTTTAGAGCCTACTGCCCATGAAAAGACATGTAATTAAGTCTGGACTAAGAGGCAGGGGAGCTCTTATCCCCAGAAGTGTTTCTGCATTTTCATTTAATAGGCCATTGGATGAAATGGAAAGACAATCATGGGCACACGAGCAGCGACCAGAGCCTGGGTCTCTTGTCTTCCTCAGCCACAAAGCCAGGCTCCCTCTGACTTGCTTTTCCTTCTGACCACACATAGGCTTCCCCCTTGGTCACCCAGCACGTCATTTTCAACAGGAGACATGGAGGCCATCTTTAGCCTTGCTGGGCCCACATCCTGATGGTCAGGCCATTTTGCTAGGAAATGGAAACTATAGGTTCTAGAGAAGGGGGGCTCAAGAACCTACGTCTCTAAACACTAAATCACAAGTGCCCTAACCACTAGGACACTGGTTTAAAAGGTAGGAGGATCCTCCCTTTCCTATGACTTACAAACTATTCACAGGGGAAAAGGATCCAAAATCTATACAAGCAGCCTGCAATGCCACTTATACGGCTAAAGTTGCTGCATAAGTGCTACTTACACACCAAAAAGGGAGTTGGATTTGGACCTTATCATTCCAACAGATGTCAACAGTTGAAAGTAATCAATACCTCTGAAAAATCAGGTCCTATGTAACTAGGTAAAGGCTTCACACAGGCAGAGATGGGAACAAAATCCAATCTGTTTCAGCAAGTCAAATGGAACAATTTTGATACATGTTCAGCATCCATAGACTGAACAGCTATTTTGTAATGGAAACACCAACAATGTCCAAGTTCTGATAATTGCACAAGGTTGGTGTCTATTCTGGGTGCCTCTCTACATGAGAAGCTACTGTGCAGTACCGTTGGCAGGCACTAACTGTGATGTGATGCTACTGAGCAGTAGTAACAAGGTACTTCACAGTAACTACTTTACAGTACTGCATGAAAATAACCATGCAGTGACAGTACTGCACAGTAACACCAGTTACTGCACAGTCATTTAGTACTTGATTATGCAAGTACTAAAATGACTGCACATGTAGACATGGCCTCTAGGTACCAATCCTTTATCTTTAAAAAATCCTGCAATTATCCATATTATTCCTCATTTAAGGAGTTCTTAACTAGGTTCTCTCTGCCCTCAATAAATATTTAAATTACTTGTTTTTTTTGACAAACTTGGAAACTTCTGAAAGCACTTGAAAATTTGGTAAGGTTCTTTCATAACAAAGAAAATATGACTAAGAATCAGGATGTAGAATATATAAAAATCTATTATTATATACAAAGGAAGATGCTAAATGTCATACTTACTTATCAAACACTTTAAAAAAATTAAAAAGCAAGACCCTTTACATGGCCCCAAATCTATAGCTATTAAAAGGCTATTTAAAAATAGGAAATACTGTGATAATTAAACACTGAAGAGTTTGATACAGTTCTTTCCTACATTTATGGATTCTTTATAAGCCATAGTAAGAAATAAGCGGGTGTTTTCTTATACAGAATAAGATTTGCATCCAAAATTAAGGTTCCTTTTTTAAAAAGCAAAGATAAGCCTTTTTTTACAAAAGAAATTATTCTTAGTAATAACTGTGCCATGAAGGGGCAAGAAACTAATTTGTTAGTTAATGTTCACAATGTGCTTTGAAGTTGAAAAGAGTTACAATGCAGAAGTAACATTTAAAAGCTTTTACTGTTATATTTTCCAGGTGTATTTCTTCACTTCTATTTCATTTAAATAGTTCTAAAAAAGCCACACCAGGAAGTTCCCACTGCCTGCAACCTCACCCAGACTGTCTCCTGGGATGCCACATTTCCTGGGTACTCTGTTTCCAGGAAGACTTAATTTACATCACACAGTAAGCCATGACTCCAGAAAAAAAATCTTGTTTCATACATTCAGCCTTTCAAAACCGGGTGTATGTTATTTTGGGTGAGGGTGCTGTATGTGAGAAAATATGGTGTTGCCCTGTGGGGTCAGGCCAACTCTCAGGATCTCAATATTGCGCTGTTAGACAGGAGGGTGTAACACAATTGCACATATACAAACACACAAATCAATTAGGCACACACACACACACACACACATACACACACCACCAGCTCAGGCACATACACATCCAAACCAGCCTAGGCACATGTATACCTAGCACCAATTCAAGCACATACACTATACACCCCAAAAGTTAGACACACATCACTAATTTGTATATCATATATACATACACACACACACACACACCAGTTCACACACACAAAACCCACCTACACATACACACAGGTAAGCTCCTAACTTGGATGGTACAGTGTGTGTGTGTGTGCTTGGGGTACCTGGGATACTTGGGGGAAGGTTCAGGTGTGAAAGAGAGAGATAAAGTGTAGGAAGTGAAAGCTGCCAGATCCGGGATGAGAACCGGTGGACTAGAGAGAAGCTGGCTGAGGAACTGAGGCTTCAGTTTACTTCAGGTAGATTGGGGCTGGAAACTGAGGCAGACAGCTGAGATA